CGAATTCGATACTGTAGCCATCGAGTAGTTACATAATCCTTTTAATTATCGAGATCTTACTGAATACTTAACGTTAAGTTACGAAGTCAATTTACCCGTGCCATGTCGTACAAGATTTTTCAGAAACCGTTTATACAGGGTGTCCCAGCATCGGTGGTACAACCGAGAAGGAGGTGAGTCTACATGAAGAAACAAATCGATAATAAGGAATAAAATTTGTTCATTTGAGGTTTCGTTTTCGAGAAAATCGATTTTGAATATTAAGCGAGTACGGGCACACTTAACTATGGCTTAGATAGATGGATTTCGAAAACAGACTTTAAATTCACTCTAAATCCGTAGACAGAAATGAGTAATACAGCACATCATCTTGATACTAATGATATGAATACTATTTATAAGTGTCATATGTATAAACATACGTATGACTTGTATCGGGATCCCATCCATCTAAAGTTTAGATTCTAAACCATAGTTACGTGTACGCGTACTCTCGCTGAATATTCAAAACCGATTTTCTCGAGAACGAAACCTCAAACGAACAAATTTTATTCTTTGTTATCGATTTGTTTTTTTATGTAGAATCATCCCCATCTCGGTTGTACCACCGATGCTGGGACACCCTGTATATTTTGTTAATCACAAAGACCCGTATCCAAATTTATTTTCCTTCGAGCTTTCTAATTGATCTTACAAGTAAATCGACTTCATTTTTTTAAAACGTCGCTTCGGTAATAGAAGTAGTTCGTGTCTCCATAAATCGAGCGTTGATAAATATCTGCAAAAAAGACTGCAAACACGAATTTAGTTTCGAACGAAAATTTCTGGCCCTTCGTAACACGCGAAGCCATAAATGAAGGACAGACAATTCGAGACTTCCTTCCTGGAGTATTCTTACTCTCCCTTCCTTTCTCCCATACCCATCCATCCTATTTCGTATTCCACAGGTATTACGCACTCGACATCGGAGTCAGTTATTGTCTCCAGAGCCGAATCCTCCCAAATTTGTCTCGCTGGTGCACGAACGCAGAACAGGTTCCCCCCCGACGAGGAGGCAAACACGCAACGACGAATGATGCAACTCCTCGCGGAATTCGAACGACCGTGGATGTGCAAGCTCACGGGTCGCGTTTCTTCAAACATCGTAGCTCGCATCTCGGTAATATTCTCGCGATCCACCAGGCCTAACCCCACGGGCTGTCTCTTAATCAACACCTCGTCAGGACGCTTGGCTACCATCGAGCAGCTCGCCAGGCTCGTTCCCGCAGATTTGTTCCATCGTAAACCGGATTGAGTGTCAAATCATCGCCCATCGCGCTCAATCACCGTCGGCGTTCACCGTCGAGCGTTCCAGGCGTTGCATCTTTCACTGTCACGAAACGGGCTTCCCAGGACGAGGTCTGGGGAATCTGCGCGCGAGCAAGATGCGTTGACCCCTGCGGCCAACCCTTGGGAACGTTGGGGAAAATTATGTTCTATGAATTCGAGGGCCCTTTAATGAAGCGAGCTTGAAGAGACAGGCTATTACTTAGTAATAAGATAGTTTGAGCCGTTTTACAAACGATACATTTTAGAATCCTGATATTATAATAAATAAGAGTTCATACAAAACGTGTACAGTTCATTTAATTACGTTGTGATCTAAGTTGTGACCAGCCATAAACAAAGCGCCGACGAGACAAAAATAAAATGAAACCCAAAGGGGTACAAATGGAATCGAGAAGAAAATTGATGGAAAACGTACTAATCTGAGCGTGAACGCTCGCACCAGTTGCAGACCTACAATTCAAGATGTCTCTCCAAGCGCAGATCCAACAGAAAGACATGGATGTGGTTAAGCCATAAAATTGATGGAAGGTGCGCGCGTCTCCCAGAGGAGCCAGTGGGATAAAAGAAACCGGAGGCTCCTTCGGTGGCGATGGTTCGTCGTAAACCGGCGTCCAGCAGGCTCCAGGGTCCGTGGAAGATATTCAAATTCGCAGAAAGACGAGGAGAGGGGTCGTTCGATCGCGTGAGCCGGCGCGATTACACGGAAGAGGGTTTGCACGGTGCCCCGTAAACGATCCGGTGGACGCTAATATCCGGATCCGTCGGTAAATTCGCGATAACCGTAACCGGTCTATTAATTGATCGCCGACATCGGCGATACGTACCCGACGCGTTCATTAGAGCACTCATTAAGCGGAGGAACAGTCGTGTTCGCGATCCCCGAGCCGTGCTCTCTCGCGGCTTATTATGCGATTATCGATAGGCGTGCATACGCAGCCGATACGCATACTCGCGTGTCGAGGCCGGGTAACGAGCTACTACAACCCCTTCACGTTTCGCCTTCGCGATTCGTTACGTCGCGATCTTGATGAATCCGCACTGGGAACTGCCAGAGTGGCGCACTCTGGTTCCGTGTTGCGAGATCGGGACGTTTGATTCGGTTCTATGGTCGTATTGGGTTAGAAACACCTGACAGGGTTGCGTTATACTTGGGTTAATTGACTAAAACACAAGCGCCACGATGTTCATGAATTCTCAAATTGTCTCTTATAAATCTAAAGACTACGATTCGAAACAGTAAATGTGACAATGGGGGAAAATCCTTCGAATTATACCAATTACAAGCAGGTAAGTTCGTAAAAGGTAATTAATTCCTTTCATATCGGGGATCCTATTTGTGACCTCGATGATGTGCTTATGGGTTTGAACTTTTCACACTCCCTAACACCTTCTAACACATCCTACATTATCCTAAGACCTTCTAACACCTCCTAACAACACCTAAAATCTTTTAACACCTACTAACACTGCCTAACAACTCCTATCAACTTCCAACACACCCAAACAACTCCTAAGGCCCCCTAATATCACCTGACATTTCCTTAATCAGTTCCCTTCATTTCTTGGCACTTTTCCCGCTAATTTTCCTGACCGACCCTCGCACATCATGTTCTTCTGATACAAAAGGTAAGTTTCGAGAAAGAAATAAGAATTATGTCAACTCCTCCTTCATCATGTTCCTCTAATACAAAAGGTAAGTTTCGAGAAAGAAATAAGAATTATGCCAACTCCTCCTTCATCATATTCTCCTGATGCAAAAGGTAAGTTTCTCTTGATAAGAAAGGTAAGTTCCGAACCAAGGTTATAAGTTTCCTCTTTGCATGTCATGTTCTCCTGATACCAAAATGTTAAATCGGCCAGAATTTCGAAATTCAGCAAAAATTAGCCTCTTGAATTAGGCGCCAACGTGCCACCTCCTCGCATATCATGTTCTCCTGATACCAAAATGCAAA